AAGGGTAGCCAGGACACTGTTACTGTTGCTACCTATCAAGGGTAGCCAGGACACTGTTACGGTTGCTACCTATCAAGGGTAGCCAGGACACTGTTACTGTGGCTACCTATCAAGGGTAGCCAGGACACTGTTACTGTTGCTACCTATCAAGGGTAGCCAGGACACTGTTACGGTTGCTACCTATCAAGGGTAGCCAGGACACTGTTACTGTGGCTACCTATCAAGGTAGCCAGGACACTGTTACTGTTGCTACCTATCAAGGGTAGCCAGGACACTGTTACGGTTGCTACTATCAAGGGTAGCCAGGACACTGTTACTGTGGCTACCTATCAAGGGTAGCCAGGACACTGTTACTGTTGCTACCTATCAAGGGTAGCCAGGACACTGTTACTGTTGCTACCTATCAAGGGTAGCCAGGACACTGTTACTGTTGCTACCTATCAAGGGTAGCCAGGACACTGTTACGGTTGCTACCTATCAAGGGTAGCCAGGACACTGTTACTGTGGCTACCTATCAAGGGTAGCCAGGACACTGTTACTGTTGCTACCTATCAAGGGTAGCCAGGACACTGTTACGGTTGCTACCTATCAAGGGTAGCCAGGACACTGTTACTGTGGCTACCTATCAAGGGTAGCCGGACACTGTTACTGTTGCTACCTATCAAGGGTAGCCAGGACACTGTTACGGTTGCTACCTATCAAGGGTAGCCAGGACACTGTTACTGTGGCTACCTATCAAGGGTAGCCAGGACACTGTTACTGTTGCTACCTATCAAGGGTAGCCAGGACACTGTTACGGTTGCTACCTATCAAGGGTAGCCAGGACACTGTTACTGTGGCTACCTATCAAGGGTAGCCAGGACACTGTTACTGTTGCTACCTATCAAGGGTAGCCAGGACACTGTTACGGTTGCTACCTATCAAGGGTAGCCAGGACACTGTTACTGTGGCTACCTATCAAGGGTAGCCAGGACACTGTTACTGTTGCTACCTATCAAGGGTAGCCAGGACACTGTTACTGTGGCTACCTATCAAGGGTAGCCAGGACACTGTTACTGTGGCTACCTATCAAGGGTAGCCAGGACACTGTTACTGTGGCTACCTATCAAGAGTAGCCAGGACACTGTTACTGTTGCTACCTATCAAGAGTAGCCAGGACACTGTTATTGTTGCTACCTATAAAGGGTAGCCAGGACACTGTTACTGTTGCTACCTATCAAGGGTAGCCAGGACACTGTTACTGTTGCTACCTATCAAGGGTAGCCAGGACACTGTTACTGTGGCTACCTATCAAGGGTAGCCAGGACACTGTTACTGTGGCTACCTATCAAGAGTAGCCAGGACACTGTTACTGTTGCTACCTATCAAGAGTAGCCAGGACACTGTTATTGTTGCTACCTATCAAGGGTAGCCAGGACACTGTTACTGTTGCTACCTATCAAGGGTAGCCAGGACACTGTTACTGTGGCTACCTATCAAGGGTAGCCAGGACACTGTTACTGTTGCTACCTATCAAGGGTAGCCAGGACACTGTTACTGTGGCTACCTATCAAGGGTAGCCAGGACACTGTTACTGTTGCTACTATCAAGGGTAGCCAGGACACTGTTACTGTGGCTACCTATCAAGGGTAGCCAGGACACTGTTACTGTGGCTACCTATCAAGGGTAGCCAGGACACTGTTACTGTGGCTACCTATCAAGGGTAGCCAGGACACTGTTACTGTTGCTACCTATCAAGGGTAGCCAGGACACTGTTACTGTTGCTACCTATGAAGAGTAGCCAGGGCACTGTTACTGTTGCTACCTATCAAGGGTAGCCAGGACAGTTACTGTGGCTACATATCAAGGGTAGCCAGGACGCTGTTACTGTTGCTACCTATCAAGGGTAGCCAGGACACTGTTACTGTGGCTACCTATCAAGGGTAGCCAGGACACTGTTACTGTTGCTACCTATCAAGGGTAGCCAGGACACTGTTACTGTGGCTACCTATGAAGGGTAACCAGGACACTGTTACTATTGTTACCTATCAAGGGTAGCCAGGACGCTGTTGGTGTTGTTACCTATCAAGGGTAGCCAGGACACTGTTGGTGTTGTTATCTATCAAGGGTAGCCAGGACACTGTTGGTGTTGTTATCTATCAAGGGTAGCCAGGACACTGTTGGTGTTGTTATCTATCAAGGGAAGCCAGGACACTGTTGGTGTTATCTATCAAGGGTAGCCAGGACACTGTTGGTGTTGTTATGTATCAAGGGTAGCCAGGACACTGTTGGTGTTGTTATCTATCAAGGGTAGCCAGGACGTTGTTGGTGTTGTTATCTATCAAGGGTAGCCAGGACACTGTTGGTGTTGTTATCTATCAAGGGTAGCCAGGACACTGTTGGTGTTGTTATCTATCAAGGGTAGCCAGGACACTGTTGGTGTTGTTACATATCAAGGGTAGGCAGGACACTGTTGGTGTTGTTACATATCAAGGGTAGCCAGGACGCTGTTGGTGTTGTTATCTATCAAGGGTAGCCAGGACACTGTTGGTGTTGTTATCTATCAAGGGTAGCCAGGACGCTGTTGGTGTTGTTACCTATGAAGGGTAGCCAGGACACTGTTGGTGTTGTTACCTATCAAGGGTAGCCAGGACACTGTTGGTGTTGTTACATATCAAGGGTAGCCAGGACACTGTTGGTGTTGTTATCTATCAAGGGTAGCCATGACACTGTTGGTGTTGTTATCTATCAAGGGTAGCCAGGACACTGTTGGTGTTGTTACCTATCAAGGGTAGCCAGGACACTGTTGGTGTTGTTATCTATCAAAGGGGAGCCAGGACACTGTTGGTGTTGTTATCTATCAAGGGTAGCCATGACACTGTTGGTGTTGTTATCTATCAAGGGTAGCCAGGACACTGTTGGTGTTGTTACCTATCAAGGGTAGCCAGGACGCTGTTGGTGTTGTTACCTATCAAGGGTAGCCAGGACGCTGTTGGTGTTATCTATCAAGGGTACCCAGGACATTGTTGTTGTTATCTATCAAGGGTAGCCAGGACACTGTTCGTGTTTTATCTATCAAGGGTAGCCAGGACACTGTTGGTGTTGTTACATATCAAGGGTAGCCAGGACACTGTTGGTGTTGTTATCTATCAAGGGTAGCCATGACACTGTTGGTGTTGTTATCTATCAAGGGTAGCCAGGACGCTGTTGGTGTTATCTATCAAGGGTAGCCAGGACACTGTTGGTGTTGTTATCTATCAAGGGTAGCCAGGACACTGTTGTTGTTATCTATCAAGGGTAGCCAGGACACTGTTGGTGTTGTTATCTATCAAGGGTAGCCAGGACACTGTTGGTGTTGTTATCTATCAAGGGTAGCCAGGACACTGTTGGTGTTGTTATCTATCAAGGGTAGCCAGGACACTGTTGGTGTTGTTATCTATCAAGGGCAGCCAGGACGCTGTTGGTGTTGTTATCTATCAAGGGTAGCCAGGACACTGTTGGTGTTGTTACATATCAAGGGTAGCCAGGACGCTGTTGGTGTTATCTATCAAGGGTACCCAGGACATTGTTATTGTTATCTATCAAGGGTAGCCAGGACACTGTTGGTGTTGTTATCTATCAAGGGTAGCCAGGACACTGTTGGTGTTGTTATCTATCAAGGGTAGCCAGGACGCTGTTGGTGTTGTTACCTATCAAGGGTAGCCAGGACGCTGTTGGTGTTATCTATCAAGGGTACCCAGGACATTGTTGTTGTTATCTATCAAGGGTAGCCAGGACACTGTTCGTGTTTTATCTATCAAGGGTAGCCAGGACGCTGTTGGTGTTATCTATCAAGGGTACCCAGGACATTGTTGTTGTTATCTATCAAGGGTAGCCAGGACACTGTTCGTGTTTTATCTATCAAGGGTAGCCAGGACACTGTTGGTGTTGTTACCTATCAAGGGTAGCCAGGACACTGTTCGTGTTGTTACCTATCAAGGGTAGCCAGGACACTGTTGGTGTTGTTACCTATCAAGGGTAGCCAGGACACTGTTGGTGTTGTTATCTATCAAGGGTAGCCAGGACACTGTTGGTGTTGTTATCTATCAAGGGTAGCCAGGACACTGTTGGTGTTGTTATCTATCAAGGGTAGCCAGGACACTGTTGGTGTTATCTATCAAGGGTAGCCAGGACACTGTTGGTGTTGTTATCTATCAAGGGTAGCCAGGACGCTGTTGTTGTTATCTATCAAGGGTAGCCAGGACACTGTTGGTGTTGTTATCTATCAAGGGTAGCCAGGACGCTGTTCGTGTTGTTATCTATCAAGGGTAGCCAGGACACTGTTGGTGTTGTTATCTATCAAGGGTAGCCAGGACGCTGTTGGTGTTGTTACCTATCAAGGGTAGCCAGGACGCTGTTGGTGTTGTTACCTATCAAGGGTAGCCAGGACGCTGTTGGTGTTGTTATCTATCAAGGGTAGCCAGGACACTGTTGGTGTTGTTACATATCAAGGGTAGCCAGGACACATATCAAGGGTAGCCAGGACACTGTTGGTGTTGTTATCTATCAAGGGTAGCCAGGACACTGTTGGTGTTATCTATCAAGGGTAGCCAGGACACTGTTGGTGTTATCTATCAAGGGTAGCCAGGACACTGTTGGTGTTGTTATCTATCAAGGGTAGCCAGGACACTGTTGGTGTTGTTATCTATCAAGGGTAGCCAGGACGCTGTTGGTGTTGTTACCTATCAAGGGTAGCCAGGACGCTGTTGGTGTTATCTATCAAGGGTAGCCAGGACATTGTTGTTGTTATCTCTCAAGGGTAGCCAGGACACTGTTCGTGTTTTATCTATCAAGGGTAGCCAGGACACTGTTGGTGTTGTTACCTATCAAGGGTAGCCAGGACACTGTTACTGTTGCTACCTATCAAGGGTAGCCAGGACACCGTTACTATTGCAACTAATGCTGAATACCTACAGCAGCCAGGCCACTGCTACTACCGTTAACCCAACGGCTGCTAGGCCACCGTTGGTGAGGGTACGTACCTAGGGCCGCCAATCCACCGTCCAGAGGGCCGTCATGGGTAGCTGGACCGTTGTTACTGTTGAGGGCGTCGTCAAGGCGTGGATCGTTAGCGCCGCCCAGAGTGTAGTTAGGATTCTCGAAGCTCAACACCCCGTTCTCTGTTAACGGAAAAGAAAACACTAAAATGAGCACTCTGTTTGACTTAAGGCTCAGGGAGATTGACACCAGTGAGTCCATCTATCATCATTCTATCATGCAGGAGGAGCCACATGTCTATGGTGCATCCAACAAAATAAGCAGACTCTTGGATGTCACTACCGCCCGGCTCCGGCTGGGTTACAAGTATCTTTGGCAGGTTAAATCACCACCACCAGATGTAGACCAAACGAAATGTAAACTTTGCCAGATGGATTATTGTCACACCCTGCGTCATTATGTACTGGAGTGCGATAAAATTAATGAATTTAGAAACAACTCACTCAGAAGTGTTCAAGAAATGGCTAAGTATTTTATCCACAGTGGTATATTACAGACCATTCTGGAGAAATACCCTGACTTTGCTAGCTGTAAATAAAGCATTACCACATGTATGCATGTGTGTGTGTGTGTTTGTGTGTGTGTGTGTGTGTGTGTGTGTGTGTATGAGTGTGTGTGCGTGTGTGTGTATGAGTTTGTGTATGTGTGTATGTGTGTATGTGTGTATGTATGTGTGTGTGTGTGTGTTTATGTGTGTGTGTGTGTGACTCAACAATCAATATTTGCACCAATAACTCACTACAGTTGTGACCGGGTGTGGAAGTGTGAATTGCTCATTACTCTAAAATTTGTTCATGATTGTAGCCATGTATACACGTAAGTAACCATTCTTACAGTATTCATTACCTTTGTAACTTGTGAGTTCATTACCTTTGTAACTTGTGAGTTCATTACCTTTGTAACTTGTGAATTCATTACCTCTGTAACTTGCTCAGCTATCAGAACTTTGAGGCCCAGTCCCTGGACCCATTATGTACCTCTGTAATCTTTTGACTACCGCCCACTGGATGGGTATGGGGTGCATAATAAACATACTGAACATTAAAATGGTATAAAATACCGACAGGTTATTGTTTCATACTATGGAACAATGCTCTTCTCCAGACTGAGGGACTGACCACCTCAAAACTTTAAGGGTGATGGACTGATTACATCGTCTTCAAGTATCTTCTGCTTCTATCAACTTTTCTGTACTTGACTGAAGAAGCCTACTGTGTAGGCGAAACGTTTCATAATAAAGATACCTAACTGTTGCATATGTGTCTTACCTAACAATAAACATATTAAACTTAAACTCTGTTTGCGCTTTTTTAAAATAATATTATATTATATATATATATATATATATATATATATATATATATATATATATATATATATATATATATATATATATATATATATATGTCGTGCCGAATATGTAAAACTGGTCAATTAGCAAGAACTTTAAAATTAAGTTCTTTCTAAAATTTCCTCTTATACGATTAAAGATATATTAATAATTTTGCATCAAAAGAGCCTTGGAAAACTTGCCTAACCTTATTAAAACAAACGCAATTTAATTTAGCCTAATCCAACTAAATATATTTTAAGATAAGTTTACAATGATTTTTGCGATAACTCTGTGACTGAAGAAATACTTCCTAACATCCCTGTGATTCATCTGAGTCTTCAACTTCCAACTGTGTCCCCTTGTTACTGTGTCCCATCTCTGGAACATCTTGTCTCTGTCCACCTTGTCAATTACTCTCAGTATTTAATATGTCGTTATCATATCCCCCCCTATCTCTCCTGTCCTCCAGTGTCGTCAGGTCGATTTCCCTTAACCTCTCCTCGTAGGACATACCCCTTAGCTCTGGGACTAGTTTTGCTGCAAACCTTTGCACTTTCTCTAGTTTCTTTACATGCTTGGCTAGGTGTGGGCTCCAAACTGGTGCCGCATACTCCAATATGGGCCTAACGTACACGGTGTACAGGGTCCTGAACGATTCCTTATTAAGATGAGGGAATGCAATTCTTAGGTTTGCTAGGCGCCCGTATGCAACAGCCGTTATTTGGTTGAAGTGCGCCTCAGGAGATGTACTCGGTGTTATACTTACCTCAAGATCCTTTTCATTGAGTGAGGTTTGTAGTCTCTGGCCCCCTAGACTGTACTCCATCTGCGGTCTTCTTTGCCCTTCCCCAATCTTCATGACTTTGCACTTGGTGGGGTTGAACTCTAGAAGCCTATTTCTGGACCAAGCCTGCAGCCTGTCTAGATCCCCTTCTGCCTGGTCCTCATCCACCAGGGAAAAGGGACACATATGAGTCTATTCCTTGTCATGTCGTTCACATATACAAAAACAGCACTGGTCCTAGGACTGACCCCTGCGGGACCCCGCTCGTCACAGGCGCCCATTGTGATACCTCATCACGTACCATGACTCGTTGTTGCCTCCCTGTCAGGTATTCTCTGAGCCATTGTAGTTCCCTTCCTGTTATACGTGCCTGATCCTCTAGCTTCTGCACTAATCTCTCGTGAGGAACTGTGTCGAAGGCCTTCTTGCAGTCCAAGAAAATGAAATCAACCCACACCCCACTCTCTCGTGTCTTACTTCTGTTACTTGGTCATAAAACTCCAGTAGGTTTGTGACACAGGGTTTGTCTTCCATGAATCCGTGCTGGTGTGTGTGTGTGTGTGTGTGTGTGTGTGTGTGTGTGTGTGTGTGTGTGTGTGTGTGTGTGTGTGTGTGTACTCACCTATATGTGGTTGCAGGGGTCGATTCATAGCTCCTGGCCCCGCCTCTTCACTGGTCGATACTAATTCACTCTCTCCCTGCTCCATGATATTTGTCATGTCTCTTCGTAAAGCTATTTATGGAACTTGCTTCCACTACTTCACTCTCCAGATTATTCCAGCTCCTGACAACTCTAAGACTAAAGAAATACTTCCTAACATCCCTATGACTCATCTGGGTTTTCAGTTTCCAATTGTGTCCCCTTGTTTCTGTATCCCATCTCTGAAACATTCGATCCTTGTCCACCTTGTCAAAGCCTCTTACTATTTTATACGTTGTTATCATGTCATGTGTGTGTGTGTGTGTGTGTGTGTGTGTGTGTGTGTGTGTGTGTGTGTGTGTGTGGTGTGTGTGTGTGTGTGTGTGTGTGTGTGTGTGTGTGTGTGTGTGTGTACACATAAGTTTGAAAGGCAGTCGTGTATACAGAAAAGTTTGCATTAAGTTATAAATAACGAGGCGTGAGTAACTTTGTACACAGGTCACATGAGAAGCAACTAGCATGACCAATACAGCGAGGAGGAGGAGAAAGAAGAAGAAGAAGAAGAAGAAGAAGAAGAAGAAAAAGAGGAGGAGGAAGACGACGAGGGGGAGGAGGAGGGAGAAGGCTTTTCTTGAAGACAAGTACATGAAGAACACAGGTATCATCTGGTTTTTGTACCGCAGCTTCACGAAGAAGATGCCTCCCCCATCCCCTCCTCTCTTATTTTTTCACTTTCAATCTCTCTCACTTTCTCTCAATCTATCTCACTTTCCCACTCTCTGTCTCTCTCACTTTCTCACTCTCAATCTCTCTCTTAATTCCTCTCTCTCTCTCTCTCTCTCTCCTCTCTCTCTCTCTCTCTCTCTCTCTCTCTCTTCTCTCTCATCTCCTGACCCCACGTTATATTAACATCCCGTTACTGAATGTTGTATACTTATCATATTTACAAGTGCACGCTCACCCCAACATTCCTGACCCCACTCCCCACCACCCCAACATTCCTGATCCCACTCCCCACCACCCCAGCATTCCTGACCCCACTCCCCACCACCCCAAGCATTCCTGACCCCCCCCCATCCCCACCACGCCCAACATTCCTGACCCCACTCCCCACCACCCCAGCATTCCTGACCCCACTCCCCACCACCCCAACATTCCTGACCCCACTCCCCACCACCCCAGCATTCCTGACCCCACTCCCCACCACCCCAGCATTCCTGACCCCACTCCCCACCACCCCACATTCCTGACCCCACTCCCCACCACCCCAGCATCTACCCCACTCCCCACCACCCCACATTCCTGACCCCACTCCCCACCACCCCAGCATTCCTGACCCACTCCCCCACCACCCCAACATTCCTGCACCCCACTCCCTCCACCACCCCACGCATTCCTGACCCCACTCCCCCACCCAGCATTCCTGACCCCACTCCCCACCACCCAGCATTCCTGACCCCACTCCCCGCCACCCCAGCATTCCTGACCCCACTCCCCACCACCCCAGCATTCCTGACCCCACTCCCCGCCACCCCAGCATTCCTGACCCCACTCCCCACCACCCCAGCATTCCTGACCCCACTCCCACACCACCCCAGCATTCCTAACCCCACTCCCCACCACCCCAGCATTCCTAACCCCACTCCCCACCACCCCAGCATTCCTGGCCCCACTCCCCACCACCCCAGCATTCTTGACCCCACTCCCCACCATCCCAGCATTCTTGACCCCACTCCCCACCACCCCAGCATTCCTAACCCCACCACCCCAGCATTCCTGACCCCACTCCCCACCCCCCCCATTCCTGCCCACTCCCCCACCCACCATTCCTGACTCCACTCCCCACCACCCCAGCATTCTTAATCCCACTCCCCACCACCCCAGCATTCCTGACCCCACTCCCCACCACCCCAGCATTCCTGACCCCACTCCCCACCACCCCAGCATTCCTGACCCCACTCCCCACCACCCCAGCATTCTTAACCCCACTCCCCACCATCCCAGCATTCTTGACCCCACTCCCTCACCACCCCAGCATTCCTAACCCCACTCCCCCCACCACCCAGCATTCCTGACCCCATTCCCCACCACCCCAGCATTCCTGGCCCCACTCCCCACCATTCCTGACCCCACTCCCCACCACTCCAGCATTCCTGACCCCACTCCCCACCACCCCAGCATTCCTGACCCCACTCCCCACCACCCCAGCATTCTGACCCCACTCCCCACCACCCCAGCATTCCTGACCCCACTCCCCCCACCCCAGCATTCCTGACCCACTCCCCACCACCCCAGCATTCCTGACCCCACTCCCACCACCCCAGCATTCCTGACCCCACTCCCACCACCCAGCATTCCTGACCCC